TGGGTTTCCGAGGCAGTATCACTACGGAAGTAGGATTGCCCAACCTTCCTTCCGAGGAGTGGCTGGTGGGTTTGAACCGCCAGCCGTCTGGTTAACAGGCAAGTGTCTTAGCCACTATGCTACCAGAGCTCCCACTATTATAGATAGTTCACCCTATTAGCTAAACCAATAAAAGGAAGTACAAATACCTGATCGAGCAATGCCACTGTCCCTGTCTTCATTTTGTCCTCTGCTTGGCATGTCAACTGGTGTGCTATGTGCTGAAAGGCAGAAGGAAGCCATATTATTGGACTCATCAAAGATAAGGAAGTTTTAAAAACACCTGCAGCCCTTTTTATATTTCAAAGTAGGCTAACCAAAAAACCAAACTCGTTGCCGTCGAGTTGATTCCAATTCATAGCAACCCTGCAAGACAGAGCAGAATTGCCTCATAGGCTTTCCAAGACTGTAATCTTTATGGAAGCAGTACTGCCTCATCTTTCTCCCACAGAGCAGCTGGTGGGTTCGAACCACCAACCTTTTGGTTGGGAGGCAAGCACTTTAACCACTGCACCACCAGGACTCCTTCAAAGCAGGCTACTGCTTATAATTGGTATAAGTTTATATAGAGATTAACTGGAAGGCAAAATTAAATACATAAAAAGGTGATGATGAAAGCAAGAAGAAAATACAGAACCAAGTAACCATCTGCACTTAACTATTCTATTGTAGCATTTAAATTTTTTGAGTGATGCTCATAAACTCTAAAAAACTGAATAACAAACTATTCATGCAGTTGATATAATGAACATTCTCAGGCAGGTATATTTAGTCATTTTTCTCATCATCAGTAGCATTTAAAAAAACCCTACACTTTCAAAATGCTTTAATCAGTTTCAGTAGTCACTATAGGCAACTTAGGGAAGAGAAATACTTGAAAACCATTTCATAAATTTAAACAATGTTTTTCTGTTTATAACCCACTCTCTTGGCAGATCGAAAACACTTCATTATCAAATATTTCTTCCTCCACTTCTTTGCCACATACACAGTATTATTGTAGTTACTTAGCAAAACTCATATACTGGCGTGAATTTTAGAAAACATTCTAAAGTACTATAGACTTCTAGGAATGTTTCAGATTGATCTAAACTATGTATTATTGGGCTTGAAGGTGGATGTGATGTTGCTATTTTAAGTTTACAAAGTACAAGAAACTCAGGGCCCTGCCTATTATAATCCAAAAACTATGGATTCTGACTCACAGTGACCCTGCAGGACAGAGTAGAACTACCCCATAGGGATTCCAAGGCTATACATCTTTACAGCAACAGACTGCCTCATATTTCTCCTGCAGAGTGGCTGGTGGGTTTGAACTGCTAACCTTTAGTTTAGCAGCCAAATACTTAAAGTACTATGCCACCAGAGCTCTTTCCTGATTATTATACTTGCTAGCTATTTTTGAAGCATGTTTGTTTTCACAATTTTCAAATACATAAACATGTCACCCTCACTATAAGTAGGTGGGAGGGTGTTAATTTCAAGGGTATCAGTTAACTATAGTGCTTGTCATATTTCACACAATAAAAAAGGACAGAGTGAAAAACACCATTTGCCATAAAAACAACCATTAACATGTTAGTAACAAAGGTTTCTCACACTTATTAATCATGCCAAGACTACTACAGACATTCAACAGCCAAAGCTAGAAAAGCCAGTTAAATCTCAGAATTTACCTACCCGGAGACACCTGGATGATTATACCTGCAAAGAATCTAGAAACTGGATTTAAACTACTTAAATGCTAGAGAGAGAAAAACAAAGTAGTCTTCCATGCTCTTATTAGAGTGAGTGACTTTTGAAGAAACTGTGCAGGTAAAGATATGGGTGAATAAGTAGATAAAAAGTACCATACCACAGGGAAACAGCTCACAGCAGCAGAGACCCAGGAAAATCAGAAAATATAATCCTCTTAGAAACAGTAAGGGCTCATTTCTGATCAAAATCAGCTTACACTAGGGCATTAGCAAAGACATTTACAATAGAGGTTCACTGGTGCACTTTTCAAAACATCACGAAATTTGCTGCATTTGAAACTAATATCTCTTATCAAAAGAGCCCTTTGGATTTCTAGAGAGGCACCAAATAGGATTTTTTTTCTAAGAACTGCACAGGGTTTATTAATATGTGTGTGGTTCACACTGTACTCAGCATTCCACACAAACCTGCAAAGAAAGAAGCACTCCGGGTGAGCCGGAGAGGTCCTCCTTCAGCTGCCCCCAGCAGCAGTTTGCTGCTGCATGCCTGCAGCAGACCTAGAGACAGAAACACACAGGAAAGGGCAAACAAAATACACACACACAAAAATAAACACAGATTAAAGATAATGCAAACAAAACCAATACAACAAACTCAAATAAAGCAAAACACACCCCCGCCAACAGGGGTTCTCAGAAAGAAATCCGTTGGTGTGTCTGATTTTACCTAGGTTACTTCCAGTACGACAAGGACCCAAACTATTCTGATTTGTGTTCAGCTTTCCCAGATTAGGATCTTGGTTGATGTATTCAAAGCTGTCTTGCAAGCTGAAGGCCAGAGAAGGGGAGGAAGAGAGAAAGAGGAGAAAAATGTCAAGAGACAAATAAAGGTTATTATTAACAGACTTTCAAATATAGACAGGAACTGATCAGTCACCAGGAGTTTTCTTTATAAATGAATAAGAACTCATACCTACCAATTCCCCTAAAAACTGGTAATGTTAGGGGAATTTCTTACAGGAAAATAAAAGCTTTTTGGAGGTAGTCCAACCTATAAAACTAAATAACTGTATTTCTAACAATTTCAAGTCAGATAATATGGTATATACCAAACTCTACATTTTGATTCTGTGACTAACCCCAATCATGTTGCTGTACATTTTGAGGATCTTACAACTCTTAAAAAATGATTATCAGCAATTCAGCAACTTTTATTTTAGGAAGAACAGGTAAAAAGAAATCATGATTCTTCTAAGAGTTTGATTTCACAACATCTAAAAACTTATTAGATTTAGTCATCAAAACAAGATTAGGACAATAGATTTTAATAATATATTGTATTTATTAACAAGGAAAATATACAGACTTCAAGGATAACATGGTATAAGGAGGACAAAATAATTTTTTGTTAAATATGAGCTTAGTTTTTTTTTATTATAGAGAGTTGTAATAAATGTGCAGGTCATTTCAAAGGTCTGAGAAGGAAAATATCATAAGAAATAAACATCGATTCTCATATTGAGTTAAGTCTAGACAATCCAAAATTAAATGTTCAAATAAGCAAATTCACTATTTTGTTGTTAACAGTGGTGACCAAATCTACAGAAGAATATATTTTTAATTTTCCTGGATTATTAAAAAAAAAAATAGCAGACAGACTCCATTTGTCTCCTAAGAATGCTCCTTATTTTATAACAAGCCTTTCCTTTACATATATTAAAGGATAACATATATTTTGTTTAATCAAAGAAGTACTTGAAATATTTCTGCCTAGAACTTTAGAACATATGGAAAAGTACAGCAGAATGTAAGAGTCTCAATTAGACGTTTTAGTATTCTTAATCTACATAGATGTTGAAAATTGAAACAGGAAAAACTCAGGAGTGAAAAATCAAAATACTGCATGACCCAAGTACCAGTTACTCACAATGGCTACCCTGACTACGTAGAAAAGACAGCAAGCCTAGACAATCCATCCTGCTCTATGGTACACATGAGCCTGAAAAACCTTACTATGCACTTAATTCCTTCTGAAATAAATAGATAGATAGATAGATAAGAAAATGTTAAGACAGACGAATTAAAAGTAAAACAGTATCAGGAAATACCATAAACTCACTGATGTAGCCCCACCTTTTGTCCCCTTAGTTTTCATTTTCCAAGGAATGAAAACTTGGTAACTACATGAAGGACTACAGTGGGTAATACAGACACAAAACGTAGGTAATAAAGACAGTCATTTGCCTTTAAAGTCACCTGATAAAAACCAAAGGCCCTTTTACAGTCATTTATAGGACAATGGAAGGAGAGCTGATGGAACAGAGGTTAAATGCTCAGCTGCTAACCAAAAGATCAGTGTTGAACCTACCAGTGGCTCCATGGGGAAAAGACCTGGTACCCTGCTCCGAAAGGATCACAACCCAGAAAACTATAGAGTTCTACCCTCTACTAAAGGGTCACTATGATTTGGAATAAACTTGACTGCAAACAACAATAATAATATAAGTCAAAGGAGTGCCTGGCTAGACTGCTGACTGAAAGGTCAGAGGTTTGAGTTCTCCCAGAGGAGCCTAGGAAGAAAGACTTGGCAGTTTACCTACCAAAAAAAACCAGCCATTAAAAATCCTCTGGAGCACAGTTTTATTCTGACATAATGAATCAACCCAACACCAACTGTTATAGAAAAATGATCACTTTTAAAACACCTTTGTTAACGTGGATGCATCTGCTTCTCATTTCTAAAAGCCTCCCGGCCCTCAAATACTCATTCTTTCCAGAAACAATCACTTAAAAAAATGGTGGACAGAGTGGCAAATTCTCACACTTACTTATTCGTACTCCCACAGAAGCTGCCCATTCTAGCAGAGAAGACTTTACTAATCATCAGTTGTGGAGGAGAACTGGAAGAAAAGAAAAAGAGAAAGAAAATGCATTTTTCAAATAAGGTATCAACATCACCACTCACTTCTAATTATTAGTAGAGATAAGCCCAAACGCACCGTATGTAGTGTATCTTTAAAGTGGAGCCTTTATAACTCATTGCCACTGAGCCAAACATCATTTCTCCCAGCATGTTGACATCAGAAGCCGGTCTTGCATACTACCATACACAAAAGAAAGAAACCAAAAATCACAGTCAGTACACAGCACGACATGATGCACAATGCAATAAAAAATAATATTTATTAATCTTTTGGGTTTTTTTTTTTTTTGGTTTTTAGTTTAGTGGTCAATTACAACCATTTTTCAAAGTAGATACTGGTCATTTTATAATTTTAATCTATAATGGTGACTGCCTTTTCTTTTCCCCAAAAAAACATTACTAATATTCCTGATTTCTTCTTTACACATGGCATCTTTACACAGATCCAAATGCTTTATCAGAGCTCATTCTTAACTTTGTTATGAGAGACAAAAATTAAAACTCTCTCTACTTATAAATTCTAAATAGAATTAAAATATGAAATAAACAGGGTAATAACTTTTTTCTTAATACTAAGAAAATATCCCAAAAGGAAGATGATTCAGTACTATTCAACCATATAATTAACTGTGGTGATCAAAAATGTCAACTGATCAAAACTGTCAATTGGTATAGTAAGAGTGTCGTGAAGGGCCAAAAGACAACACATAGCCTGAAAACTCCAGTTTTACAAAATTATCTTTAAAACATTTGGTCCCTCTTCTGATGGCAGGAGCCACAGTAGTTTCACCATTATGCACTCAGCTGTTAACCAGAAGGCTGTTAGTTCGAACCCACCAGCTGCTCTGTGGGCAAAAGATGCGGCAGTCTGCTTTCGTAAAGGTTATATAGCCTTGGAGAAACCAGTGCTGGATGTACAGGTGTGCTATAATATAATTGTCCCCTCCCTAGCTGCTAATGAATATAAAGTATGTGCTTGAGAGGTTTAGAGGATTATCCCCTTAAGAAACCCAGAACTCTATCTTAGCAGAGTAGAGGAGGAAGGGCTGTTCTCTGCTACCAATAAATCTAAAATACCCTGAACAGAGGCAATAACTGATGTCCACTGCCTACAGAAGGCCTTCTACTTTTATTCAGCCCTTTTACCTTTTATTAAGGAGCCCTGGTTGCACATTGGTTAAAGCACTCAACTGGTGACTGAAATGTCTGCAGTTTGAACCCAACAGCAAGAGAAATATGTGGCAGTCTGCTTCCATAAAGATCTACAGACTTGGAAACCCTATGGGGCAAGTCTACTCTGTCCTACAGGGTTCGCTATTGAGTTGGAATTGACTTGATGACTGTGGGCTTTGGGTTTATCTTTTACTGTCCTCTTTTGTTGTTGCTTTCCCTACTTGCTCTCTATACATGCTACCTGGTACATAGGCATGGCTGTCTGATTAGTATTTAATCCCTGGAGAGAATTTAGGAATTCTCCACCCAAAACATGAAATGGGGCATGTCTGAATGAGAACTTAACTTAGAGAACCTAGGCTCATGATGATTTGTGCTATTCTAGTCATTCCTGTCCTGTTTATTCTATTGAGTAATAAATGCCTGCTGATCACAGGGGGGAAAAAGAAAAAAGATTATAGCCTTGGAAACCCTACAGGTCATTTCTGCTCTGTCCCATAGAGTTGCTATGATTCAAAATCAACTCAACAGCAATGGGTAAACAAGCAGCTTCTAACAGTCCTTCTCATCCCTTCTGTCATCCAAAAAGGTAGACTTGTGCTGCCTCTACTTTCTCCCCTCTCATTTTCTTCTTTGCTGATTGCAAATCTAATGATCCATTTATTCGAAGTGCTCTAAGTCATGACCTCTGACTACCTGCCAAATCCAATGGACCATTTCCACTTTGTATTACTGAACTTCTCTTACTATATTTGACACTGTTAAACACTCTCCTTCTGAAACTCTTCTTTCTCAGATCATCTCCCTGAATGCGATTGTTCCCTTTAGAGGGCACTCCTACTCAATGTTTGCATTTTCAGCCATTCTTATGATTTTGGGTTATTATTTACATAGGAATGCCCCTTACATCTTTGTGTTTAGGCCCAGATCCCCATCCCTACAGCTCTAGAATCCTATATCCAAACACATTCATTCATATATCAACTATTACTGAGCACTTATGCTAAGTAGTGATGGCATGCTAATGAACAGGCTAGATACAGACATCAACCTAATAGTGTGTCACAGGCAACCCAACATAACTTGAGCAAAACAAAACAATCATCTCTCTGTACCACTCTACCAGCCAGACTATGCCAGGAGGCTTGGAGGACAATGCTCTCCACCCATGGAGAAACATGAGGATCATCCTCAATGTTTTCTTCTCAATCTTTTAATTTTTTTTAAGTTCAAATAGATACATACATGTATATATATACACAAATACACATGCATACTGACACATATATACATACCCACTGCAAAAAATACATGGAGGCCACATCTTCTGACCACCTCTAATCACACAAGAGGAAGACAGAATCACTATTAGTAGCCCAAGGCCTATTCCTGCAAGGCCAGACATGCTGCCTCCCTCTAGCCCTCTCACCATCCATTCCTTCCAAATCATCCACCACCTCTCTCCTGGGTTTGATAATTCACTGCAGTGCCCACACAGAATTCACAGATTAAGGGATTTATTAGGGAAGTACCAGGCTACAATTCAAGTTCAGGAAAAACACTCAGTCTCTCTTCCAGCCCACCATCCCTCAGCCAACAGTCTCTCACAGTCTCTTTCCTAGCAATGCATGTCCCTCGGTGTCTCACTCAGTAATGCATGTCTCTTGCGTCTCTTTCCCAGCAGTGCATGTCTCTTTCAGGAGTGTGTATGTCTTTCAGCAGCACACCTTCCTCAACCAGCAGTCAGAGAGAGTTCTGCCTCTAGGAGGCCTCCTTTTGAGCCTGGCAGAGTAGCCAAACTAGCCAATCATAGCATCAGAACTCTAAGCACCTGAGAGAGAGTGGGAACCTCCTAGAACATTGTTTTGTGCCACTCCCAACAGAAATACTCCAAATGGACAACTTTAGCAATCAGGAGCTCCTCAGTTGCTCATAGCAAATCCTACCTTGGAGTTACAAAGACTTATGGGTAGAAAGCTACATCAAGTAATTTACTACACCGCACCCACTTATATTCGTTTGCAGAGGTAGAAAAAGAAAGATAAATCAGCTTTGTTCAACTAGATTTCTCTTTTTGTTTTGTTACAGCTCACACTCACCTCTTTCCACTACATGCAGCTAAAAACCAAGTGGCTTCACATTCTTCATTAATAACTCTCATCTACCTACTTTTTTTTTTTTTTAATTGTGATTTGGGTGACTGTTTATAGAGCAAATTCATTTTCCATACAGCAGTTCATACACATTTTGTTTCATGACTTGACTGCAACACCTCACAATTTAACAGCTCTCTTCCCACTGCCTCCCTGTAATTAACTCCTCCCTGTCTCCATCTTTCCTATGAATTCCTGCCCCATGAGCTATCTCTTTATGCAAATACTGCCCTTCTGTTCTCCCATGCTTGTTTGTTCCTACCTGAAGTAAATGTTCACCCTATGTGCCTGTCTATTGTTTGGCTGCAAGCCACAGGAATGAGTTCAATTTCAGACCTGAACAGTAACTAGGAGCCATAGTCCCAGAGGTCTCACCAGGCTCTGTCAGACCAGTAAACCTGGTCTTTTTTTTTTTTATGATTTTGAGTTTTGTTCCACACTGTTCTCCCACTCTCCAGGATATCCTGTACTAATCCCTTTCTGAGTGGTTGACAATGGTAGCCAGGCACTATCCAGTTCTTCTGGTCTTATGGTCATATAGGCTGAAGTTCACATGGTCCACTAGTCCTTGTTTCCATGTGTCTTTGGTTTTCTTCATTCTTCTTTGCTCTGGACAAGGAGAGACATTGTTGTCTCTAGATGTCCACTTGCAAGCTTTTAAGACTTCAGTTGCTACTCACCAAAGTAGGATAGTGAACAATGTTTTTGTGTAGTACATTACGCCAGTTGAGCTTGATGTCCCCTGTGACCATGGTGTCAAGCCCACAGGTCCAACTACTCGCTCCTTCAGGGTGTTTGGTTGCAACTAAGAAGTTAACATAACTTTGCTCCCTTTTAGCTCTATTATATATATGGACATTCTTACAAACCAAAAAAACCAAACTCACTGCCACCAAGTCAGATTCGACTCATAGCGACTTCTCCCTGGGTTTTCAAGGCACTATCACTACAGAAATAGATTGCCCAATCTTCCTTCCGAGGAGTGGCTGGTGGGTTTGAACTGCCAGCCTTTGGTTAGCAGTCAAATGCCTTAGGCACTATGCCACCTTACAGCACATACAAATACATATGTAGAAATAGCATCTGCCAACCTTATATATGGTCATGGGTATATTCCCTTTTGCCTAGATATACCTGATCATTCAGCCTGTCTATCCATCTATTTACCCGCAGATTAATGTTTGTTATCACTGATAACACAGTATTATATATGCAAAAGGGTGTATCTATGTTGTCTGTATCATTTGTGCACCTTTCTGTGTCTTCCTTTTCCTTAGTGTTATTGTGTTAGTCACCTGCTTTTGGTATACTTCCTTTCCCTTCACCCAAATTAATACATGTCTAGCAGTGTTCCCTTGCCTCTCCTCCCTCCCATGTATCCAAAAAAGAAAGTTTCCTTCCATATATAAATCTTTGCTTGCTTTTTTTTTTTTTTTTTTTATTTTTTTGTGGTGAAAACATACACAAGACATTCACCAACATAACAACTTCCATGCTTACAGCTCAGGGATGAAACCAAAAACCACACTCAGTGCCGTCAAGTCAGTCCTAAGTCATAGCAACCCCTCCTTGGGTTTCTGAGACAGTATCAGTAAGGAGCTCTGGTAGTGTAGTGCCTAAGGCACTTGACTACTAACCAGAAGATTGGAAGTTCAAACTCACCAGCCACTCCTGGGAAGGAAGGTTGGGCAATCTACTTCCATAGTGATACTACCTTGGAAACCCAAGGAGGGGTCACTATGAGTCAGGCCCGACTCAATGGCACATAACAACAACAACATCACTATGGAAATAGATTGGCCAGTCTTCCTTCCAAGGAGTGGCTGGTGGGTTTGAACCTCCAGCCTTCTG